TTACTTTGTTAGTTTCCCTTGGGCCTTTTTCTTTCTCTTTTGCATTTGCATTAAAACTAAAACTTCCTTTTTTATTTCAAACTTAAAAACACGATAATACTATAAAAACTCTTTTTCAAGGTAAAAAAATACTAACCAATTCAAATTTCATTTTTCCGTTTGGATTTTCTTTTAAAACCCTTTTTCAAGGTAAGAAATAAACAAACCAAAACATGTGAGTCGAACTACGGCGATCTGTTTCCTCGAAAGGGATACATCGGCATTAGGTCGTGGGGCCTAGGCATGCAAAACTTTGTACATATTCCTTCTTTTCCATGTATTTTCTTTCGCATGCATTCCTTCTTAGCATTAAGCTTTAGACATAGATTTTTACACACCCTTAGATTAGAGCAAACTTAAGTGGATCCTGTGGAGTACCACTGATGCGTAGGGTGTTAATACCTTCCCCTCACGTAACCGACTTCTGTACCCTTTCTCTTGGTCGCAAGACCATCTTATCAATTTCTTTAGGTTTGTCTCGATATCTTCCCTTCCTTCGGGATAAATAGAGTTCGGTGGCGACTCTGTGTGTTTTTTGCAGCGCGAGATTAATAAGTTCGGGCTCAAACACGGGCTTCCCCTCCTTGTCAACTAGGAATTTTTCCCCTTTTCCGAAACGCTGAACTGGAGGTATTCCGTCAACAAAAGCCAACAATCGATCATAGCTGGCCTGATCTTTAAGATTCAGCTGGCTTGCCTTCACTATGTAGTGTTCGGTCCCACGAGAAAATTGCTCCTTATCCCAATGAAAATGAAACCTTTGCACAAGCTCCCTCCTCACCTCACCCTCCTCGTTCAGCACAGACTCTTTATCCGCACCATGCTTGGGGACACTCATAAATACATTAAGAATCGCCTTCTCCGACACGGGCTGAACCAACAAGTATATGTCCTTAAAGTGTCGAACAGATTCGAGATAGGCCTTAAACAAATTCTCATTCGACTATTTTAAGGAAACCCATCCAAACTGCCAACCAACGGCTCCCCGCTGGAGGTGGAAGCAGTAGAAAAATAGGGGGACAATAGCCCCAATCTTCAAATACTCACACATCATCTCGAAATCCCGCAAAAAGGCTATCGAGTTGGGGTGAAGCTGCGAAGGAGCAAGAAGAAGGTAGTCAAAGATGGCCACCTGAAGGTAGGTGAAAGGGATTCGGAGCCCTAGGTCTCTAAAAATGATCTCATAAATAGGAAATTGATTAATAACATACTTCATGCAGATCCTATCGGACTTCCCGAGGACGAGGGTGGACCAATCCTCCTCAGCATTCAGTCGCTCCATCCCCACAGCCACGACCATGTACGCCTCTTTGGGATGCTTGGTAAAGTATGACTCTATCTCTCGGGGACCCGGTGCAATCCAGTTTGTCCCCTCGGATTCATTTCACCCAGAAACAACGGGTGTACCCTACTCTGATGCACTTTGCTCCGACGAGGTCTTCTCAGAAGAACTTTTTTCAGACGTACTCTCCTCGGATAAATTCTGGTCGGTGGAACTTTATTCATTCATAACATCATCCTCAGTGCTACAAGTCATTTTACCTGAAAAGTAGAGGATAGCAGTGAATTTGACATCAAATCAAATCCACCCTTCCACCGCTAATCAAGTGAAAGGGTGCGTAAAGGCACGAGGACCCTGTCCTCAACCAGAGACCTCACTTAAACAACAAAAGACAAACGCGAGGATTATTCCCCTTAACACGTTGACGCTAGTCATCCAGGCTAAAACCTAACTCGTACAAGGAGTGACCTCCGTGATGAATGGGTTTTAAACATCTCAGGAGGATTCATCGGAAACGCATGAAGTTCATGACAGGAACCCAAAAACGTCCCAACTTCACTGCCAAACTCATCGCAGCTTGCCACTACCGGCCTAAAAGCCAGATATCACCAACAAACTCATGGTAGACCCGACATCCTCAAGTGGTAGAACCACCACTAGACGCCAACAAACCGCCAGAAGATTCCCACACTAAGCTAAATTAATCCTAACTGCATGCATATCTAAAGACAAAATCGGAAAATCTAGCCAAGAATAGAAACAAAATTCACAAAAATAATAGAAAATCAAAAAACTTACTTGGTCAGGGAAGATTTGCGGCTAACGAGCAGAAGCTTCGACGGTGGACAATGGTGCGTTGTGTTAGAGCGGTAAAGCGGAAAACAAAAGTAAGTATTTTTAAAAGGGTGATATATAGGTTATATCATGTCGTGTCCACAAAGATTGGTGAGAGGAAAAAACTATTGTTCAACTGTTTAAATCCTTCTAAGTTTGGAAAAGGGTTTGCAGAAAAAGTGCGGGAAAAGTAAATAAAGCAATAAAGAAAGTGATAAATAATCATCTGCAACCTAAGAGAATTCATTCTGGAATCGCATTTCACTTTATCCATCAAATACTTAAATTCGCCGATCAATTGCACGCAACCTAAATTACTCGTCAATACCATCATGTATCACTCACATTAAGGCTATGTCTAACGGAAAGTGAGACATCGCCTGTTTTACTCTCGTCGACGATCTCTCAACCGAATCAAACAACCTGAATGCATTTCATAACCGATACTCACGTAAATATTAAGCCTAAATCTATGTCTAGAGTCTAGGACCTAATAGATACTCATTCAAGAAAAAGATTCAGTAAGCATATGTCTACGACAAACCAAAACTCCGCGATTAAGCAAAAATCTAGAATAAACGCTGGTATTAATTTGTAAAGGAGATTTCATACAATTCCATGATCAACAATACATACATAAATAATAAATATATACATACAAAACCCACCATTAAAATGATACATAGGGAAGAAGGAGATGAATAGGAAACTTCTCGCGGTGTCAATACAATCCGAGACAACCCATAACTAATCAACAAGATGCACCACCCAATGATGTTGGATAAACCTCTAAACTACAGAAAATTGGATCAGAGCTCCTCCAAGAGGGAAAGAGATGATAAAAACCCTAAAAAAATTGTTCTAATCTATTTATATAAAAACTAAAAATCGCAGACTGCGCTTAGCCCTAAAAACCATGCTAAGTGAGCCTTCATTTATTCACTAAACTGCCTTAGAGCGTGGTAAATGCCAAATATCACGCTAAGTGTGCTCGCCTATGCCTGTGCTCCATAACCCGCACTAAGAGCGTGCTAAATGTGACCTGAAACAACTTTATTTCTTGAATTTGTCCAAAAATGTCTATCTGGAGCCATGCCTTCGACACCTTATCATACCTAATTTACAGGTTTTTATCATATCTTTCATAGATATATTTTTTTGCATATATCTATAGAATATTGACCAAATTTTTATCCCTACTTAGAACCTTTATAATAAAAAAAAGTGGTGTAGATCAGTCCGACGAATAATGTCAAAAATTAGTGATTCTAATTTGACAATAAAGCTTTTAGGGAATTTCTAACTGAACTGGACTATGGTTTTTGAGTAGTGTGTCTAGATAAAAAAAATAGTATAATATTTCATTCCATTCTATCTTTTATCTAGGGGTGGACAAAAAATCGGGACCCGTCCGAAACCGTTATGTCCGATATGGAAATTTGTTGATACGGACGGATATAGATGGGTATCAAATGGAAAGATGGAAATATCGAGTTTCAGTGGATATCTTTGGTTCGGTTCGTATGATGAAAAGTTATCCAATGAAAACCATAACCGACCGAAGTGTATTATTCTTATCTGAAAAGTATAGATGGTTGTTTTCAAAACTCCAAAATTTATTATTTTAATGTTACTACAATGATGGTGTTCACGTGTCCATTATATTGAAATTTACTTTTTCATTCATATACTCTTTGTTCATTTTCTTCTCTCTCACCAACAATTACTTTCCTCTCTCTCCTTTCTCTCTCCAAGACAAAACACAACACTTCACTTTCCTCTCTTTCCTTTCTCTCTCCAAGACACAACACAACACAAGACTTCACACTTCTCAAACAACATTTTTAACTTCTATATCTAAAACATGCTAATCTCTATCACGATAGCTTTTTATTTCAATATTTGTATGCCATGTTAACATCTCTATACAAGATACTATAACTATTTTTTGACAAGAAGAAACACTTATTTTGTTCTTCTACTCATATCTTCTTTAAATATGCATTTTGGATCTAGCTTCAAAACGGAATAATATATTTACAAATGTTCAAAACAAGTTATTATATTGGTTGATTTTAGTTGATTTTTCATTGTTTCTCATTTTAAATGTATGAGTTTCTCTCTTTTTGTTGGTCGGTGTTTTTCTGGTTTTGATTTCGATATTTTTTTAATTTGTGATGTTAACCGATGAACCCACCCACGAAAACCGTTATCCGAGAGAACCGCCACCCGCAAAAACCAATATGTGAAATGGACGGAAATGGATTGAAGTATGAAATCTAACGGGTTTGAGCGGTGGAGGATTTTTGATCTGAAACCGTCCGCTGCCGACCGTTGTCCACCCCTACTTTTATCTATCAATCTAAATAATGAAATATAAATTTATTTCCGTCCCACTCCATCTTTTATCTATTAATCCAAATAATAAAACATAGACTTATTTCAAAATGAAATTGCAATAGGAATCAATTATAATCTTCAACGGAAAATTAGAAGAAGAGTGTAACATTACACATAGCTTATAGCTTATTAGACACATTGCCAAAGAATGAATCGAATGAAATAATAAATGAATTGACTTTTTTGCATCTACAAAGATTTCTATAGTTAGACCTCAACTACACTCTAACTCATAACTTGTTGCTGATCTTTCCAACTCACATGCAAATTTGAACAAAACCCAAAGGGACAACAAATTGACAAATTCTTGTGTTGCACAATTTCCCAATCCTTGATTTTTGGTTTCATTTTCTGTCCAAATGTCTTTTGAGTGCTTCCGTTCTACCACTTTGCAGATTCCAAAAGCAAGAGAGAAGATAATGCCTATAATTTTGTAACCTAAAACTTAGATTGAATTGGTTGTTTGTCTACTTACCAATTCATCTAAAGCTTCCTTCATCCATGCATATGGGCATATTTCTTTTGCTTCATCCACAGTCAACTACATCATACAAATGAAAGGGAAAAAAACTTTAGGACACAAATTTATATAAATTCCACTTGATTAGAATATTTTTTACATTGTTAATCGTAATCATTAGATATCATTAAAATCGGTTGACTTTAATGATTATAGATTTTAAATTGTGATTTGAGAGCAAGCTCAATCTAAACGCCTTTGAGTCTAAACGTGATTTTTACTCAAAAATTTATGAGAATTTCTTCGAACATAAATCACTTTATCTTTAACTCACTTTTAGTCAGAATCAATTCACGCATAGTCAATTTTTTTCACCGCAGAACCAAACATATAAGTGAAGTGCGGTGCAATTGTGAAAAAGGGATGAAATGATTATATATACACTTACCCATTTTCTTTTCCTTAAGTTCATTTCTGGCCAATTATCCAACTCCTTGCTAACAAGCAAAGGAAACATGTATCCTTCATGCATAATGGGTTGGCGTTTGCTCTTATAGTACCATTTACCCAAATTACTCTGTAAGAAAAACAACCATAATACACCAACAAAGTAAGAATCAAGGGACCAATTATTTGATTAAAAAAAGTGATTGCAAAAAAAAGTGATTCCAAATACTTACTTCAACACTTCCAATAACACCAGCTTCTTCTATGGTTTCTCTCAAAGCAGCTTGCTCCATGGATTCATCACTTTCCCAACCACCCTGAGACCAAAACAACAAACAAAGAACATGTTAGAAACAAAAACAATAAAAAGTTTGAAACTTTCAAATTGAAACAAAGTTTTTGAGGAAGAAAAATACCTTTGGGAATTGCATTCCAGTACCCTTTTGAGCACTTATCAAAAGAACTTCTATTTCATTTTCTTGGGTTCCATTGCTTTTGTATTTGTAAGGTATGCATCTGTTCATTTAAAAAAAAACACAAAAAAAGTTAGATTAACAATTCAATTCATATATACATCAAACAACAATAAAGTCAAATTCAAATTGAAATAAAAAAGCCATTTTTTATTAGAATAAAAGCTTTTTTTTTCCTTTTCCTTCAAATGATTTAATAATCAAATAAAAGGGTACACTTTGAAATCATTAAGAAAAAAAACCCAATTGAGAAAACCCTTAAAATTTTCGAAAATTGGCCACCATCTTTAATTCCAATGATTAAAAATCCAAACTTTAAGAAACCCCAATTGAAAAAATAAACCTTAAAATTTTCAAAAATTGTTCATCATCTTCAATTTCAAACATTAAGAAACCCCAATAGAGAAAAACCTTAAAATTTTCAAAAATTGTCAATCATCTTCAATTCCAAACATTAAAAATTCAAATTTTGAAGAAACCACAATTGACAAAAACCCTTAAAATTATCAATCATCTTCAATTCCAAACATTAAAAATCCAATTTTTAAGAAACCTCAATAGACAAAAGACCTTAAAAACTTCAAAATCTATTCATTATCTTTAACTCCAAACATTAAAAATACAATTTTTAAGAAACCCCAAAAGAACAAAATCACAATAGAAAACAAAAAGAGAAAGAAACACACCCCACAACTTGGCGACACCCTTTTTCATATCTCTGCAAATGTCTTCCCGTCCTAGGAGACACCAAACTAATCATATTCTCCAATTGTTGAGGAAAGAAATAATTATGAACATCCTTAGAAAAAAGAAAAGGGTAAAAGAATTTGCAAGCCAAAGTCCTCGAAAGCAAAAAACCCATTACAACGTCTATGTTTTTGTTGTTGTTTTTTTGTTAATGTGAAAAATGAAAGAGAGAACGAGAAAAAAATGATGATTTTGAGATTGAGAAGATGAAGAAGAAGAAACAAACATTAATATTATGAATGAATTTGTGTTGTGTTTAAAACAAACGAATACGTTGGATATATATGTATCTACCTGTTCCTGCACACGTGTCTGTGCGTGGAACTTGGTTTTTTCATTTTGACAGATGCGCGTGGGAATTGTTTTTTTTTACAGCTGTTGTTGGAAGTTACTATTGTGTTCAAACAAATGAAACCCGCATGGACCAATGCGTTTAATCACGCTCTTTTATTGAAAGTAAAAAGTTTATTATTTATTGTTTTATTTTGGTTGCAACAACTCAATTTTTGTTTAATAAAGAACATTCCTCAATAACAACAAAAATTGTAATTTCTTTTTAATCTTATCTTTGTCTTATGTAAAATATAGATTTAGTTTTAGTTTGGATCATTTTTTTAATTAATTTTTCATTGAATAAAGAACATTCATCAACAAAAACATATTTTAATTTCTTTTTAATCTTATTTATGTGTTTTGTAAAATATAGATTTAATTATAAGTTGGATAATTTTTTATTTATTTTTAGAGAAAAAAGATATGAAATGATAGTGTAAAGTAATTTTACACCGTCAATTAATCACCTCTATGTATTTTTTTTTTGGAAATAAAGATTATATTAACCAAAAAAATATATCAACACAGAAACGCAACCCAAAGGGTCCAGCGAAAAAGACGATACTCAGGCCCAGCTAACAACAACCTAAGGCAACATGAACTTTGCTATACTATCTCTATACTTGGGATATTTTCACATTTTGTTTAATATATTTACTATATTATCTATAATGCTCTTTGTCATATTTCTATCACTCTGATTTTTGTTATGTACAACATAGTTCTTATTCCACCAAACTTCATAAATCGTCTCTGTTATGGCAATCTTGACAATTTTACTTCTCCAATTCTTGCTCTTGCAAATTCTAACCAACCAATTAAGCTCATGGTTCCACCCTTTAATGGTATGACTAATGTTCATCCACCTAAGAATATCCTCCCAAATCTTTTTTGTATACCTGCAATAAAAAAGAAGGTGATGAATAGATTCAGCATAATCACAGAACAAGCACTTGAGATCCGTCTTGATTCCAAATTTTCCCAATTTATCCTTTGTAGCTAGTCTTTTCTGACAAGCAAGCCAGAGCACAATCACAGCCTAGGCATGGCTTTGTTCTTGCACACTAACCATTCTGACTCAACCTTAGGAAGCTGTTGAAGGAATTCCATGTAGAACTTCCTAGTCTGGAATTTCTCCATCTTCTTCAGATTATCCCACTCATGCAAAGTGCAAACTTCATTTCTCATATTCAGGATATATCTCAGGACCCATGAGTCATTTTCCTTAATATCCATAAGCATCACATCTGCAGTTTTCACATAATACACATGAATCCAATGCATCCACATACTATCAACCTTACTGTTAAGGTTCAAGAGAAGCCTCGCCAAACACACTTTCTTCTAGATATGCAAGATTATTATCCCTAAACTACCTAGCTTCTTAGGAACACAAAAATTTTCCCAAGCCACGGGGGATTTACGAGAAATAGTATCCTTACCAGACCACACAAAGGACCTACACATAGCATCCAGCTTTTTCATGACTCATTTAGGCCAAGGCAGACAGCTCATCCAGTAATTAGCACATCCAAAAACAACATTATTCACCAGCTGCACTCTTCCAGCATAACTGAGTAAATAGGAGCTCCAATGTTTTAACTTCTCACCAATTTTTTCAGCAAGAGCTAAGCATTTATTATTAGAAAGCTTTCTACTAGGATTCACTTTGAGACTTGCTCATTATCTGCCATACCACCACAATACAACTTACATTTACTATGATTCACTTTGAGACCTGTGGACATTGAGAATTCAGAAAATTTATTCATCATCATCTTAACTGATATACTATCCCCCTAGAGAACATTAAGAGATCATTGTCAAAGATAAGATCCACTAATTTTAACTTCTCACACTTACTATGATAATTAAAATTAGGGGTATTGCTCAGGCCCTCTACTTTTATGTACAACTAGTCCATTATAACAATAAACAGTAAGGGGATAGGGTCTCCTTGCCTCAACCCCCTAGATTCCTTCATACTCTTGGTGACTCTACCATTGATGTTAAATTGGTAGGTAACTGTGGAAACAACCAACATCACCCACCTGATAAATCTCCTAGGGAAGCCAACTTCAGTCAGGATAGTTTGCATAGCCTTCCAGTCCACAAAATCACATGCCTTCCTAATATCCATTTACACCATGCATCTAGGCATCCATCCCTTCCTACTATATCCTCTTATAAGCTTATAAGCAATCAAGATATGATCTTGTATTTTTTGACCAGGAACAAATGTTGCTTGGTTCTTGCTGATAATGTTCCCCAACACCTTGCTCATTCTATTAGCCATAATTTTTTATATTACTTTATAGATTGTAGTACAACGGGAGATAGGGAGAAAATCTTTAATATTGATGGCTTTATCATGTTTAGGAATCAGAGTAACAAGAGTTTTGTTATTTCTGATATCCAACTTACCATTTTCAAATAAATCATTCACAGTTGCTACCATATATTTTTTAACCACTGGCCATGAGTATTTAAAAAATTTTGATCCATAGCCATCTATATTAGGGGCAGTAAGATCCCCAATGTTATTGATTTCATCAAACACCTTTTTCTCACAAACAGGACTAATAAGCATGGTTCTTTGATCTTTGGTCAATTGATTACCACTTCTCATAGCTACAATATCCACCCCTATCAAGTTGGTGTCTGTAGTTCCCACGAGCGCCTTGTAGAAATTCATAACCTCCCTCTAAATATCTTCATGAGTATCACAAATTTCCCCATTCTCTTTAATCAATTTGCTAATCAACTTTTGCTTATACTTACTCTTAAGAGCAACATGGAAATAGTGATTCTTCCTACCCCCCTTTCTAATTCAGTCAATCTTTGCTTTTTTCCTAAGCATTTGCTCATCCATGTCATTCAGATTCAACAGATCCGTAGTGCAGAGTTTCTCCTGTAGGATCAGATGAGGGTTCATTTTATCTTGGCTCATCTGCTTCTGGATATCAGTAAGATGAATTCTCTTCTGCTCAATTTGGCTCTTAATATTTAAAAGGGGTTTATGAAGTTTCTTAATGATAGGTTTTAAACTCATATGATTATTCCACGCATGATGGCTCTACTGGCCTTTAACTTTTTTCTACCAGATATCCCTGACTTCCTCGGCATAGCCCTCAACCTTAGTCACAACATTAATGAACTTGAACTCAGACTTAGGTCTATCAATCTTACCTCTCCTTTAAAACATACAAGGGCATGATCAAAAACCCCGGGCTGTAAAGTCACGCTTCATCAAGTTTATGTTTTGATGATTACAAACATCATGATCAAGGCAAAAGGCATTATCAAAAAGAAGAAAAAGTATCTACTCAAAATGGACTTTTGGCTTGCATGTTAAGTTACTCCTAAATAAGACTTTAGTATTTGATATTCATTATGGTATAAGACTCCAATTCAATATAGTATGTTACTATAGTGCTCAAAATATGTCTAATATTATGCATACATGTTTCATGGCTTTTAATATCACTAGCATTACATTTCCAAGTCATTAAAAAGGTTATTTCACTTTTTCATACAGCAGTAACTAATTACAGGTTTCTAGTAACCTGTTACAGGCTTCGGCATTTCAAAAAAATATAACGTTACCTGCATGGGTAACCGGTTACTGCATTTTGGTAACCGGTTACCGCTGAAATGAATTTCAAAAACAAGATTGTTTTTAATGTTGTTTATTTGTTTGTTGCATTTATCCATGAACCATTGCACTTCTACACTCATTTAGAACCTTTTGAAAGGGTGCAATACATGTATATAATTCAAATATTTCTGAAGTAGAAACACAACAAAACAACAACAATCACAACATACAATTCAACATTTTATTTCTCATTTTCAAACAAGTGCATGGATTAATATTTTGATCTTTTATGAAACTTTTACTCTTACATTTTCAAATACATCATTAAAAAAGTTTCATCATATGCATTGAGCACTTGTATAATATATTCATTGAATTGTTGTCTTGAAAGAGAAGAGATCAATACTTTGTATTGACATTGATTATCAACTTCCATATCTACTTCAAGAATTTATTTCTAATCATTTTTTTCAAAATGATTGTGGTGTAACCTTGTTGTCCAGAATTGTTGGAAGCAAGAGAGTATTAAGGGAGGATTTTTCTCTTTTTACTTTGTATTAGTTAACTTGTTTTCAGGATTGTTAAAAACAAATGTGTACATTGAAGAGGATTGTTCTTCATGTACTTGGTTGGATCTTAAAGGATAGTTAAAGCCTTTGATCTCCCTATAGGTTAGATAGTAAGCATCACATTTGGAGGTGGATAGGTTGTACGATAATTCTAACTATAGTGAAATATCTTACATGTTGGTAAGTGGACTAGAGTACTCTCGAAGTGTGAGGGGAACCAGTATAAATCTCTTGTGTTCTTTATTTTATGTATTTACCGCTTTCATATTCATATACAAACAAGAAAATAAGAACATCATCACATAAAAGAATAAAAATCTACAATCCAATTTTTTCTTCCCCGTCTTAGGCGCACTCAAAAACCAACATTTGGCATCAGAGCAAGTTAAGGTAACTTGTTCCTATTTGATCCAGAATGGCTTCCGCACAACCAACTTTCAAAGATGGTGGTAGTAACAACAAGCCTCCATTGTTTTGTGGTGAATACTTTGACTTTTGAAAAATTTACATGAAGGCTCATATAGAAGCACAAGGAGAAGAAATATGGGATCATGTCCAATATGGTCTGTTTATTCTGGTATCTGTTGTCAATGGTGTTGGAACATCAAAGCCTAA